TAAAAAAAAAAAAAAAAAAAAAAACAGAGTCGGGGCCAGATGTGGCAGCACATTCCCGGATTCTAAGGCTGAGGCCAGAAGATCACAAGGTCAAGGCTAGACTACATGTGAGGCCAGCCCACACAACTTGGTAAGATCTTATGCCAAAATAAAAAAGCAGCTGGAGAAATGGCTCAGTAGGTAAGAGCACTTGCTGCTCTTGCAAAAGACCCAAGTTCGATTCCAGCCCCAATATGTTCACTCACACTCATCTATAACTCCAGCTCCAGGTGATCTGATGCCCTCTTCTGACCTCCATGGATACCAGACATGTCCATGGTGCACAAACATAAGCAAAGGAAAAGCACTCATACACATAAGCAAATCTAATTTTGAAAAATTTAATAAAAATTTGAAAGGGCTGGAATGCATGGGACCAAGCTCATTCCTTGGCACTTCATTTGTGTGTCTGCCCTTTCTACCATTCTAATTTGTGTGTGATATGTGCTTGCCATGGGGTGCACAGGAAGATCTGATGACAACCTGCTGGAGTCGGCGTGGGTCCCCGGAATTAAACGTAGGTCATCAGGCTTGGAGGCAAGCACCTTTACCCACTCACTAAATCGTCTAACTGGCCCAAAAACCTTTTGTGAATGAGGCATACATGATGTCCTGGATGTCCAGAGCTTAGCAATGATGGAACTGATCCTGACAGAGAGTCTTGGCAGATTCTAGAAGGGACCCTGCATTTCTCTTGTTTCCGTGTGAGCACCTGGCCGTCATGGCTCTCCATTACTCAGAGCCGTGGTCCTGTGGTTCCATTCTACAAATGGGACAGAGCTTGCCTTAAGGTGGCTGCCCAGCAGTGGACAGCCAGAGACAGGAGCTGGGGCTAGAGGGGTGTTCACTGTTGCATGACAGTCTCCAGAAGGGCTCCCCTTTGACTGGAGAATACCAGTGCACCCTACTAAGGGACACCCAAAAGCATAGCAACAAGGCCTGGCCCTGGGGTTCTGGCACTCTGTCCTGCCTCCTGGGAAGGATGCTGGGTGGTGACTCTGTAGGTGAAGACTCTCTAATGTGTCACCCCAGGGAGATGAACAAAGCCCCTGGGATAGACCCAGTACATACCTCTCCTTGGTAAACACATACACAGTACCATCTGTGCTATGTCCTTGACACACTGTGAGCTGCCCTCTCCAGTTGCAGCCGCATCCTCATTTTCCTCAGTCTGTCAGTTGGTCACAGTGGGGAACAGGGCCCCAGCTCCCTCTGTTTCTGGGCTAAGGCCCGCACTCCTGGGTCTCTCTCACCTGATTCTCCTCAGCCTCACCAAATTCCACACCCTTGCTTCTTTTCTTTTCTGCACATGGTGTGCATGGGTGAATATGCATGTCCCTACATGTTTGCATGTATACCTACAGGTGTGCACATGCATGTGCAAAGGTTGATGTCAATCACTTTGTCTATAGAGGCAGAGTCTCTCAGTGTTTTGCCTAGTTCATGCAGCCAGCTTGCTCCTGGGATTCCACCTCTATCTCCTGCATGCTGGTATTACAGGGGGCTGCCACACCTACCCGAATTTTACAACAGTCCCAGCAATCTAAACCCTGGTCCTGACACTTGCACAGGGATTTGGTTGCACACTGAGCCGTCCCTCTGACTCTCAACATCATTCCTAGAGAAGCTTCCCCTTACCAACCTCTGACACTCCATCACTCAGCAACTTGGACTGCCCCATAGGCTACAGGACCACACAGCCAAGAGGGTCTCTGCAAGATGGTGTTCTCTTTTGCTAGAGTTACAGAACAGAACTCAGGAGCCCCCAGGTAGCTAAAGCATCCAGCTCCCACAAGAACAAGGCAAGGGAGTACAGGAAGCTTGGACAGTGCTCTTGGATCCCAGGGTCAATGGTGAAACTCAGATTGTGAAATTAACTCTGCTGGTGTGCCTACATTCCTAGGGCTGTGGCATGCACTAGGACATGACTGTGGACAGCAGGTCTGCAGCCCCATTTTGCAGCAGACAAAGCTGAGTCCTGTACACATTAAAAGGTTTGGCAGTCTGCGTGGCAAGTTGGAGGGAGAATGAAGACTGGAAACCAGGCTTTCTGAAGGTTTGAAGACAATGCAGCTGTCATTGTATTAGCTTTCCAGTGACCCCACCAGTCCCAGATGGCACTTGATGCCATTTAGGGGTCTAAAAGCTGTTTTGTTGAAAAGCTAGCAAAGCCCTGGTCCAGAAACGAGGGGCCAACAGGGAAGGTTGTTGCATCATGTGGCCCAGCTGCTCTGTGTTTGGGGAAGCCTGCCAAGAAGATGTCAGAACTAAGACACCAGCTGCCGGCCCGGCCTCTGCACACGCTGTTCCTACAGCCCAGCCCCTGACCCCAGAGTGCCCGCTGCCAAGCCCGCCAGTGAACCTCTGCTCACTATGGGCTCCCCTTCCTGGAAAGCCTTGTGGGAATTAATCACTCCACAGACCTGTCAGCCTACTCACCACCGAGTCCCAGAGTCTGTCTGACACAACTCTGTTCAATAAATATTTATGGAATGAATGGGGAGGGTCATGCCTCCTCCGTTCTGGATCAGAGGAGCCATATAAGGACTGTGGTCCATGGTGGCCTCTGTGGGCTGCATCCTGGGCTTTCAGGGAAACAGAACCTGGGTTCGATCCCTGACATTGCCCCTCACCAGCTGTGTGGCCTCAGACAGAGCATTCAGTCTCTCTGGGATGCATCCACATATATGGGGAGACACTCTAAGC